TGTGAAGAGTAGTGGAACAGGTGGGGACAGGTGAGAAGATGGTGAGCAATCAAATGAAAGATCTAGAGAGATAGTGGAGAAAGAGAGAGGGAGAGTGCTACGCCTGTGGGGCTTATACGTAAGGGTTGAGTGCCTCCGCTGAGCCTCAAATATAACCCTCGTTATATGAAGGCATATGGGTGGGAGAGTGGTAAAGAGCGCCAACAAGGCAGCTGAAGGACAAGAATAAAATTCACGAGGAAACCATGAACGACTGAACTTACGGCGAGAGTGCCTACAACGAGGGGACTTACAACGAGGGATCTGAGGACGAGGGAAACTCCATATTCAAGAGCACACCGCATTGCTTACTTCATAGCGACCTTGCCACCAGACGTGGAGATCGAGCCCGATCCGACGGTCCACGCCGCATCGTCCGCCGATGACTGCCCGACGAGATCTTTTGTCACCGGGCTGCCCGAGGAGTCAGTGGCGATGGCGTTGCTGCCCGACATGCCGCCATTAGGCGAAAAGCCCACGGCGAACCACCCAGCAGCCTTGGCCCCCGATGCCACCACGGCCATCTTGATTGTCCGCCCCTTGGTGGCCTTCCAGTGCAGCACCAGCCTGCCAGGGGGTGCGGGGAGGGGGGATGTGCGGGGGAGGGGGGATGTGCGGGTAGGAAGGGGGCAGAAGCGGGTGGAGAGATGGGGAAGAGGATGGAGGGCGGAGAGCGTTCTAAGAAAATGGGAAGCCCACGGCGAACCACCCCGCCGCCTTGGCTACCGATGCCACCACGGCCATCTTGATTGTCCGCCCCTTGGTGGCCTTCCAGTGCAGCACCAGCCTGAGAGGGGGATGAGGAAGCGGGTGGAGCGAGGGGGATGAGGAAGGAGGCCGGAGGATGGGGCAGCGAGAAGCCAACGGCGAACCACCCTGCGGCATGCTATCACGGCCATTGCACTGTCCGTCCCTTGGTGGCCTTCAAGTGCAGCACCAGCCTGCCGGGGGGAGTGACATGCGCGGGGATGGAGGAATGCGGGGGGGGGAAGGGGGAATTCGCGGGGAGGGGGAATTCGCGGGGATGAGGGAATGCGCGAGGATGTGGGCGGCGAAAGCGGGTGGAATGCGGAAGTCGCACGCCGGAGCTCAGCGATCCAGCTCGCGCGACACGACGGCCGCTATTCCAGCGGGCCGCTGTTCCGAAGCAGTGTATCCCTTGAGGTTCGACTTTTAAGTCGACTCAAAACCCACGCTGTCCGTTACTGAGGCCGCAATCTGCCATCTGCTCTTACCCGGATGTGAGACCGGCCTTGGACGTGTATCCCTTGAGGTTCGACCTGCCGCAGCTGAAGCGGCCGAACAGCAGCTGGCGGCGAATGTTCGTCGCGAATGACGGCGCACGAGGGCTCTGCGACGACGGTTCGACGCGCGTGGCGACGGCCTGCGACGCGAGGAGCAGCACGCAGCTGAGAGCGAGCAGGGAAAGCGCGAGAAGGCGGGCCATGGATACGGCGATCGGAGGCGATCAGAGGCGACCAGAGGCGACTGGAGGCGACGAGAGGCGACGCGAGCGCGGCGAATAGGCGACGCGATTCGACAAGTAGAGCCAATCTTCACGAAAATATGACAAATTGCTCGAAGCGGCAAGGGGCGGGTGAGGAGTTGGATACGGCTCAACGTGGTTTCTCGGACCGAAAGGCTCAGTGATAGTGGTGGCGGGAGGGAAGCGTGGACCGTGGTGGGCGGCGTAGCGTGGCGTTCGTGCTATCTGGTCGGGTGCGAGGCAGTTGGGAGGCGTTAGTGACGAGTATGCTTGAGCGATGCTGTGATCGTGTTCTACATTTTCTACGTACTTATAAACGACGGGTCAACGAGAGCCGTAAACCAGAGACAGAGAGGAGGGGGAGGAATCAGGCGAGGCACGAGCGTGGGAGGTGGAGGATGAGGAAGGCGTGTGTGGGGGAGGGAGATGGGGAGAAGGGGGGAAGCGGGTGTCGCGAAACAGCTGCCAGCTCATCGCAGCTTGGTTGAGCAGCTTTGACGAGCTTGTGGCGAACTAGCCAGCGGCCTTCGTTGGGTTATGACGAGTCGCGACGACATGCAAAACGATGTCGCCATCTGGGTGGATCAACCAATCGACTCGTAGAAGTCGCCACGTCAGGCTACGGGAACCTCCTTCCTGCGTGTGCTGCAGTAAACACGGCACGGTCGCAGAGGTAACAAGCACGTGTCATTGGTGCCCAAACAGGTTTACTGGGTGGAGAAGATGCGCGCTTCTAGTGCGTCTAGCTAAGTGTCTGTGAGCATTCTTTAGGGGAGTTTGTTGGGTAAAGTACACCTATTCTCGATAATTTCACACCCCCTACCCTTTTTTCGTAGGTACCCTTTACGTATTTCGGTCTGATGCGACGGATACCCAGAGATTGAGGGACTATTGAAAAAAACCGGAAGGAACTCTAGTGAAGGGTTTTGTTGGGTTTGGAGTGCCTTTGACATTCTGATTTCCCCGCAATTCGCGAGAGTGGGTGGGAAACTCGTCCAGATGTATGAAAACGTCGTCAACTACCCTCCGAAAACAAGTGACTAAGGGTGTTTACCCCAGGGTATGAGATTAAGGGGTATGAAATTATCGAGAATAGGGTGATACTGTAATCACCGACCTATCCTACCCTACGTAAAGAAACACACGTATCGCGGTCGACACGAATCAATGATAGGTCTTATGTGTCCATCAACGAATGGACTGTGGTTGTATGAAAGCGTGAGACGCGGCTTGGTTCCGTCAGAATGTCAACACTGCTTTCCTGGTCGGTGGCCAAGCTGGGGAAAAGAAACTCACTAAAAGACCATGGTTATGTGAATCGCCGTCTTAGAAGCAGCAGTGTTCTTGCAGTTTCAAACATAGAAATCACTATGATCCGAGTATTCAGATGTAATCCAGACACGCAAAAACAGCTCATGATATATATATATATATGATATAATTACAGTACTGTGTACATCTCCTAATTCCCCCCGCGTGTGCTTTGCGCAACCAGGGGTTTTGTGATATACAAATATTTACAGTTCTAGGCTACTAGCATGCACCGCCTCGCTTCCCAGCCATTCTCTCCTTCCACTGCCACAAGGCGTCCCTCCAGTGCCTCTGCTTTTGCCTCTTAGCCACTCTCCCCACCTGATGCGTGCTTCTGGCAACATCAGAGCTCTCGCAGCTCACACATCTCTTGTCGCTGCATTGACTGCCACAATGGCAGGAATCCTCACACGGTGGGTCTACATCCATTCCTGTATCACCCATTGTGGTAACACCCGTGTCAACAGGAACTTCAAGGGGAGCCTCAGCCTCCTGTGGTTGAGTACTTGTGAGAATGTCGACCCTGTCTAGCAACTTCGTCAGCTTCCTGGCCATGTCCCGACGCAAGTTCCGAACGTCCTGGTTCGGGGACTGCACCTCGTCCAACCGAAGCAGCCAGCTCATGATCGTCTCGCTCACCCGAAGCTTTTCCAAAGGGTCAGAAACCATCTTAGCCACGAATTCGTTATCCCGAAGCTGCGCGTCCATCTCGTGAACCAGTTTCCGAACGTCAGCTATGGACCGAGCCAGTTCGAGAGGCTTGCCTTGGCGCACAGAATAGCCCCGCCATACTGCTTGCAACTTCCGAGCAGCATCGTCAGCCGATAATGACGATACGCGAGCGATTTTAGCAGCAGGAATTCCGGCGACGCCCGCCATTGGCGACGCTGCCGGCGTCTCGGGGCGCTTGCTACTATTGTTTGCTGGGTGCTGGACGGGTATTTGATGGGCAGCTGCTTGCTCCTGGTGCTGTGATTGTCGAATCTTTGTCTCATTCACGTCGTGCTGCGCCCCTCGCGCGTACGCTGCATGCCTTCGCGCGTCAAGCTCGTGCGCTTGCTGCTTCCGCGCAATCTCATGTTTCCGTGTGTCATTGCGTCGTCTCTGCGTCATATTCCCAGCTGATGAGTCAAAACCGTTGTCGAATAGGAACGGATCGCCAAAAAGCGGAGACGAAGAGGAGGCAAAGTTCCAAGGTGACGGTTGGGAATGACAATGGGTCGGGTAAGACGATGCGAGAAGGTGAGGTTGCTGTCGCTCGAAAAGCAGATCTGACATACCGAATGCCATTCTCTGAAGACCGTCTATCCAATGAGGTGCTGGCGAAGCTGGTACGATTTTGAAAATAAGAGTTCGTCTAAAGCTTTGAGTTCGTCGTAAGCTGGTATGAAAGTAGCTGAAGGTGTTGTAGGTTTTTGAATGATGTCTCCGTCACTCGCCAATTGTATTTATAGAAGTGGCATGAATGATGACCGTGGTTCTAGAACCACCTCGGACTGTCGAGATGCAGCGAGAAAGCTCTGGTTAGCTCGGACCGAGCAGGTTTGCGAATCCGCGTGGTGCTTCGGGAATTCGCGTGTTTTTTCGCGAATAAGCGGTGTTTCGCGATTCCGGATATTGTTTCGCGAATTCGCGTGGTACCCTGCAAATCGAGGTGGTGCTTCGCCAGCCGCTTGCAACTTTGCAAAAACGCGTGGAAAATTGGGAAAGAGATGGCCTTTGCCCAGTGTGGTATTCCGTGAAATGCCGTGCCCGCTTCGTTGCGGAGCTCTGCGACGGGCAGGGCTGGGAGGGAGCAAGGGGGTGCATCGCGAAGCAGCAGTATTAGGGCAGGTTACCTCACGATCTGGTTGCGAGCGAATCAGAGGTCGTTCAGTTGTACTTTATGTTACAGTCGTTCAGAGAGTGTAAGATTTTGTAGGTAGCATATGCACACCAACACACCAAAGTGGGTCCATTCACCAATTACTGCCCTTTCAGCTGCGAGGTTCTCAATCAGTGAACATTAATCGATTCATTGATTCTATCATCAGCATAGCACATTAAACAAAAGCATTCACCTCTCATAAAATGTACACTACTGCACAAAGCCGGACTGAGAACCTAGAACCTAGAATTGAGCTGCCGAATCTCTGAGAATTGTGCTGCAGTTACAACATGATGCTCAGCCAATGAGCTCGGAGATAGGTGGCCTCTCCATGACATACGCAGACTGCTTTGCCGCCTTGGCCAATGAGGGATCGACGCCTGGAAGATACGGGATCTGCAATAGGAATGTACGCCGGGAGAGGAGGAGAGAGGTGGAAAAGGCAGAGGCAGGGATAACGTGAGATGCAATAAGAGGAGCGAGCGAGGGTGGGAGAAAGGGAGAGTGGGGACATGGAGGAGAGTGAGAGAGGTAGGGCATGTGACAAGGCATCCGGAAGCAGAGAGATGATGCTTTACATGGGGCAATGGTGCTCGTGATAGATTGAGATGATCTTTGGGAGACGGTAGTTGGCTGGAGCAATGAAGTGGCACAACAAACCTGAGAAAGTATATCAATGGTGCGCCTTAGCAGCCGCGCAATGTCCCCCTCGTCCAGCCCCGCACAGTCAGCGATGAGCTGGCGCCACGTCACACCCTGCGCCCACGCCTCCACCACTCCAGCGAACTGCGCGTCCAGGTCAGCAGGGATTGCCACGTTGGCAGCCAGCTGGAGCTGCATCAGCCAATCGCGGCGCTCTTCAGCTTCGTACACCCACTCTTGCACCTCCCAGGAAGGCTCGTACGGGAAGGAGGGCGAACTGGCGGGGCGAGGGTGGGGGGAAGGGGTAAGTGAGACCAAAGGGCACGGCATAAGGGATAGGGCAGATGCGAAAAGCAAGTTCTGGATCGACTCGAAACAAACCCGCACATACGCCCACTCCTGCACATCCTAGGAAGGGTCATAAGGGAAGGAGGGCGAACTGGAGGGTGGGGGGAGGAGGAGTTGAGACCAAGGATGATATGAAAGGCTAGGGCATTAGGGAGAGGGCACATGTGGAGGACAAGTTGTGAGACGTCTCAGACCATGCCTCATACACCCACTCCCGCACCTGCCAGGACGGCTTGTAGGGGAAGGAGGGCGAACTGGCAGGGTGGGTGTTAGGATGCAACAAAAGGGAATGGGCAAAACGGGAGAACGAGGGAGGGTTTATGGTTGACACCTGAAATTTCTCACCTCTGCACTAACACCCGTCACCTGCTGCTGTCTCCCGTACGCATGTGCATGCCTTCAGAACCCACCACAATGACTCACCTGCCGTCGCCTGTGCGCATGCGCATGCCTTCAGACACCAGAGCAGCGCAGCACCCCGCTATGGCCGGTGGAGAGAGGCGCGGGAGGGAGGGGTGCGAGAGCGCCACTGCGATCCACAGCTCGTTCACCCCTCGCACCTGCATGAATGGAGAGACGGAGGGGTGAGAAGAGTTTTGGTGAGGGGAGGGACGTTCAGAGGCAGCTCACGACATGGGTGGGGGGGAGGGGTGCGAGAGTGCCACCGCGATCCACAACTCGTTCACCCCTTGTACATGCGTGCATGGGAGGGAGGGTGGAGCAGATAATAGGCAAGGAGAGGGAAGTTCTGAGGCAGTTCACAACACGGAGCCAGGCGAAAAAACGGGAGAGGTGCATGAGGGAGTGATGTGTGAAAGAGCGCCACTATGCCACCCCGCTCCTCTACCCCTCACACCTGTAAGAATCCACCTGAACCAGCACCTGCAAAGTAGGTGGTTACCCAGGTGAAAACTCAGCTGATTGCATATTACCCAAATCCCGGTAGGAGGAAAGAACGCTGCTACAACCTCACCTGTATCTTCATAAGAGAGAATTTGACCTGCTTTTCCACACAGCACCTGAACAAACACCTGACCCACCTGGCCTGGCCATGTCGTTGCTCACCTTGGCGGCAATCTCCCCGAGCGGCATGAGCGTGCTGCTCTGCGGGTCCAGCGCATCCGCCTGAGCCAGCACCTGAACCACCTGAACAAACTCCTGCCACCCCGCCGGCTGCATCCCCGCAATCCGCCTCCTCAGCGCCTCCACCCGCCTCCCCACCTTCCCCTCCTCATACTCACACCTCCCCATCTCCGTCACCTGCTGCTGCCGCCGCTTATACACCGCCGAAGCCTTTACTCTCTTTCTAATTTGTGATAGCTTCTGCTTGTGTGACTTGAGGGAGGCTTCGAGGGAGGAGAGTGAGGAGGGGAGGGTGAGGTGATTGGAGTCTTCTGAAGGGGAGAGGGGGGAGATGGGGGACCAGCCTTGGGGGAAGCGGATGGCGGAGGTGAGGTGGAGGAGGGGGGTTTTGGATTTGATTCGCCAGACGCTGAATGTGGGGTGAGGGGTGGATAGCCACGAGGCAAATTGTGATTCGCTTTCAGTGGTGCTGGTGGGTAAGGAGTCTCCTGCAGCTCCCAAATCCCGATCTCCCATTTTCCCAATCATTCCCTCGTTCCCATTCTCTCCCCACTTGCCCCTTCCACTTTCTTCTTCTCCTCCTCCCACCTCCGTTCTCTCCCCTTTTTCCCCTCCGCTCCCCCTGAGCCATCCCTGTAGCATCTCCGGCACAGGCGGCAGGAAACGTTTCAGCTTTGCCGCCCGCTGCCACCCAGCCGTCTCATCTGCCTCGTCCTGCCGGCCCTCCGGCCAGAGGTACCTGCCAACGAGATGCCGCCCGTCGGCCGCTGACATGGCGAGCTCCGATTGGTCGGTGGGGTTGTACTGCGCTCTGATTAGCTGGCGGATGCAGGGCGAGGGGAGGACGTACCAATGGGAATCCTCCCCTATAACTGCCACGTAGGACGGCGATGAGGAGAGAGAGGATGGGGAGGAAGAGGAGGAAGAAGAGGAGGATGATGGAGTGGTGCTGGTTCTACGGTCACTGTCATTTAGACCGCCTAATTGAGCCACCTTTTTCAGTCCTTGGGCCTCTCTCCCTTCCTCCTCCTCCTCCTCCTCCTCCTCCTCCTCCTCCTGCTCCCTTCCCCTCTCCCCTCCCTCTCCTCCCCTTCCACTATTCCGCAAACTCCTCTTTCCATCCCCCTTTCCCTTCACCACTCTTCCCTTCACCACTCTCCCCATATCACCGCCCTCCTCCTCCCCCACCCCTCCTTCCTCCGCCCAGTCCTCCCCCTCCTCCTGCAGGTACGGGGGAAGCGCCTCCAGCTGCCCAACCAGCAGCCCCCGAACCGACCGCACAGCCCCGGACGCCAGGTCCGGGAGCTGCGCCGTTACCACGAGCCTGCGCCCCACAGGTGCGGGAGCGGGGCGAGCAGCACCATTCCCACCAGGCACAGTAAAATCAGGGGCACCATTCATCCCACTAGCGGCTGCTGAAGTTTCAACTGCAGGCAAATCATCAGAGGCAGCAGCGCCGTCTGTAGCGGCAGCAACGGCAGCAACAGCAACGGGTGCTTCGTGTGCCGCGTGAGCCTCTTGAGGCTCGTCAGCCTAGAGCAAGGCGTCCTGTATCTGGGGGTCAAGGGCGAATGCTCGCTGCTGAAACACTTGCCTCTGCAGTGTTGCCACCATGAGAATCCTGTACGAGAACAGGTGGTGGTGGCGGTAGCTGGCGTCCCTGGAACTGTTGGTTGGGGTCCTTATATTGCTTCAGTAGCTGAACATGGAAAGCGTTGTGAAGCTTCCACGTAGTAGGTAAGCGCAAGCGGGATGTTACTGGTGTCACCTGTGCCTCAACGTGAAAAGGACCACATAAGCGAGGCCGGAGCTTGGATGGTAGGTGAGACATGTTCAAGTTGCGCGTGTCGAGAAGCACCTGATCTCCGACTGCTACGGTGTGATCACGTCGCTGGCGATCGGCATACTGCTTCTGGGAGGTATGCATCGTGGTGAGGTGTCGCTGAGTCTTCTCCCATAGCTGCTGCATGGTGGTGACGAAGTCATGTGCGGCTTGGACGTGTGCCGGTGTGGTTGGCTGCTGTGGTGTAATTGGTTCTTGTCCGTAACACAGGAAGGAAAGGAGATTTCCCTGTGGCCGCATGTGAAGCTTTGTTGTAAGCGAACTCAAGCGTCGGTAACTGTAGATCCCAGTAGCTGATGTCGTCTTTGCAAACTGTGCGCAGTCGCTCAGTCTGTTCGTCAGTCTGGGGGTGGTACGCTGAAGACATCGCAAACTTTGTCCCCATCAAACCCGTGAGTTCCCTCCAGAATTTACTTGTGAACTTTGGGTCTCTGTCCGAGATTATGCTGTGGATGGTGATGATGCGGTCGATGAAGAGGCGAGCAGTTGCTTCAGCTGTAACCGTGGCGTTGGTCGGAATGAAGTGTCCCATTTTATAGAACTTTTCGATCACCACGAGTATAGCGTCATGCCCTCGTGAGGTCGAAGGTAGCCCAGTGATGAAGTCTAGGCTAACGACTTGCCACGGCTGCTCCAGTACGGGTAGAGGCTGAAGTAACCCTGTTTTTTTCTGCTTGCTACTCTTCATCCGCTGGCACGTGTCGCAAGAGGTGACGAACTGCTGCACGCCTGCTGCCATCCAGGGCCAGTAGTAATACTTTGCTATTCCTGCTAATGTCTTGTTGCTCCCGAAATGTCCCGCGTATGCCACATCGTGGAACTCCTCCAGTAAGATCTGTCGGAGCAGGGCATAGTTCGGTACCCAAATCTTTCCTGTTCCCTTTCTTACAGCTAAGTCCTTCTCCCACTGTAACAGCTTCTGTTTTTCTACTGTAATCTCTGCGTCCATGGAGTACCCATGTTGGAATAGACCCTTGAGCAGAGGGTTCATCCCGTCGAGCTGGATGCCTACTACGTGACCGGGGCGGCTCAACGCGTCTGCCTTGTTGTGTAGCCCGGGTTTGTAGACGATGTCGTAATGGAAGTGGGTCTCCAAGAAGTCCACCCACCGCACCTGTCGTCGTGAGAGTGTCGGCTGCGACTTCAGGTATTTGAGGTTGCAGTGGTCAGTGTAAACTGTAGTCTTGGCTCCCTCTAGATAACACCTCCACGCCTTGAAGGCTGTGACTATCGCTAAGGCTTCCTTGTCATGGATTGGGTAGTTCAGTTCTGCTCCGTGTAGCTTCTTACTGAGGTAGGCGATGGGCTGCAAACCGCGTCCGTGATCCTGCATCAGTACTGCTCCGACTGCTTGGTCACTAGCGTCTGCTTCCACCACGTAGTCCTTGTCTGGGTCCGGTAGGATGAGTACTGGCGATGTGGTCAGTGCTGTCTGTAGCTGCTCCATGGCTTGCTGTTGAGGAGTATCCCATTTGTAGGGCGTGTCTTTTTTCAGTAGGTTGGTCAGTGGTGCTGCTATCTTAGCGTACTGCGGCACGAACATGTTGTAGTAGTTGGCAAAGCCTAGGAACTGCTGCAACTCCTTCACGTTCTCCGGTACTTTCCACTTCTTGACAGCTTCGATATTCCGCCGGTCCCAGTCTATCTCGGGGTTGAACCGCTTCAGGAAATCTCGCCCCAAGATGAAATCTAATCCCTTGATGTTCGTGATCGGAAACGTCGGCTTCCACGTCAACGACCCTATCTGCAGCTGCAATGTTGTCTCGCCGTGGATGGGAAGCTTCGTACCGTCTTTGAGAAGGAGAAAGCGAATGAATGAACTATGAATGAAGTGAGTACATATAGGAAACCCTAATTGGGTTGTACCCCCTATGGGATACCCCACTATAGCCTACACAACAGCATAAGCTATATAATGTTCTGACACACCCCCATAGGCAAAGTGGGGGAGAACAAGGGGTCACAAGACCAGTCACGCAAAGCACAGCAAGCTCAGGGTGGATCACAAAGTCACCACACAGTCCGAGCACAACGACAAGGCCACAAGGCCAGTTCACATGCAGGAGGACACATATATATATAGAGCTAGACAAGCAAGAGCAGGTATATATATGTGACAGTACAAGCAAGGTCAAGAGGAGAGCAAGTGAGGCAAGACAGGTACAAGACCCAGCTGAGTGCAGAAGCGCTGATGGTCACAAGGCGCAAGTGCCTTGGTGAACACATCAGCAGTGTTGGCCTCAGAGGCCACGTACGCAAGTCGCAACTGACCACGCTGCTGCAGCTCACGAGCAAGAAAGTAACGGAGAGCAATGTGCTTCGTTCTGTGCTCCAAGCGCTGCTCTCGACACAAGGCCAGCATGGCCTTGTTGTCTACGTACAGCACTGGAGGAGAACGAGGCTGCTCTCCAAGGTCAGTCAGCAGGTAGGTGAGCCAGCGAAGCTCCTGTGCAGCCATGGCCCCGGCGTAGATCTCAGCCTCACAACTGGAGCCGAGAACAGAGGACGAGCGAGTAGCCCGCCACGAGACAGAGCCGGAACCAAGACTGAAGGTGTAACCCTGCGACGACCTCTGCGTAGCCTGGTCGTCAGCCCAAGAAGCGTCCGCGTGCCCAGTGAGGACCACTGGACTCCGCCCTCCAAGCACTAGCCCCATGCCCGACGTACTGCACAAGTAGCGCAACACCCTCTTCGCTGCAGCCATGTGCTCTGGTCGGTGTCTCCCAGGAGCAACATAGCGTGCAAGAATGCTAAGAGGGTATGCAAGGTCAGGTCGTGTGCAGGTCATCAGGTACATGAGGCAGCCAACAAGCTCTGGGTACGGGCCACTCGACTCTACGGACTCATCCGAAGGCAGAGCTGAGAGCGAGTGGCGAGTAGACAGAGGAGTGGCCTGAGGCGAGGAGTACGTGAAGCCGAAGCGCTGAAGGACCTGCTGCACCATGTGTGACTGAGTCAAGGTAATGGTGCGGCGTGCTCTGTCCCGAGTGATCTGCAAGCCAAGGTAGCTGCGCAGTTCACCCAGGTCTGTGCACGTGTGTCTCTTCTGCAGCTCGGACTTCACGTAGGCTAGTCCAGCAGTGTCAGCTGTGGCAAAGACCAAGTCGTCGACGTACACGAGGATGTAGAACGGCGGCAAAGAAGTGTCGGTGCGCAGAAACAACGACGGGTCAGCAGTAGAGGGAGCAAACCCAAGAGCCGCAAGTGTAGTCCTCAGTGTGTCGTGCCACTCACGTGGTGCCTGGCGGAGACCGTAGACTGGCCGTCGGAGGCTCCACTGGGTGCCAGGAGGGAAAGTCCCAGTGAAGCCAGGTGGACGGCGCAGCCAGATCTCCTCGTGCAGGCTACCCTGCAAGAAAGCAGTGCTGAAGTCAAGAGAGTGGAGCTCGTAGTCGCGCTGAGCGGCTATGTGCAGCAGCACCCGAAGAGTGGTCATCTTCGGGGTGGGAGAGAAGGTCTGAAAGTAGTCAACTCCCTGCCGCTGACTGAAGCCACGAGCGACGTACCGCGCCTTGAAGACAGGTGGAGAGCCCGGCGGCCGCTTCACCCTGAAGATCCACATGCCACTGACGATGTTCGCCCCAGGAGGGGGCACCGCGTCAACGTAGGTGCCTGTGGACTTCCAGGACGCCATCTCTGCATCCATAGCTGCCTGCCACTGAGAGGAGTAGGGACCCTCTACGGCCTCCGCGTAAGAGCGCGGAGTCGGGATGTCTAGTGCATCCGGGTCTCCCTCAGGGGCAAGTAGTACGGACGCGAGATGAGGTGAAGCAGCAGCCAGACACTGGAACTCCTCCTGCCTGTCCTCAAGGACGTCCGTGCCAAGAGCACACTCACCCCCGACGGACGGAGGACAGACAGACGCAGACTCAGCAACAAGACCGGCAGCGTAGTCTAGACGACAGCGAGCAGCAAAGTCGACGAGCTCAGCAACAAGCGCAGACGCAGCAGTGGACTCAAAAGAGGGGTCAGTGACGACAGTAGCAAGGAGACGTGGGACAGTAGGACTAGCAGCACGAAGAGAGTCGGACTCTGGGTCGGTAAGTGCAGGAAGGGAGGACTCAGGAGGAGAAGGCAAAGGGGCACGCAGAGGAGCAGTGGACGGACGCAAAGACATCCGGTGCGTGCCAGGGACAGGAGGAGGACGCTGACGCGAACCGCGACCACTAGCGCGAGCAGCACGAACAGGCGACGCAGGACGAGACGCAGGCTCTCGACGCTCAGCAAGACCTCCAGTGGGACCAGTGTAAGGAGAGGGAGCAGGAAGTGGGGAGGCAGGCTCTAACTGGGACTGTGACTGAACAGGCGGTGGACACGCTGCAGGAGGAGAAAGACCAAGAACCTGCTGTAGGAGTGGAACGAAGTACGGCCGAGGCCGCGCGGCGACTCCAGACACAGCAGGGACAGCACTCTCAGCAGCAGCACCAGCGCCAACAGCACCTCCAGCGGCAGGACCTCCAGCAGCACCAGCAGCACCCGCAGCAGGACCACCGCCAGGAAGGACAGCAGCAGTCTCAGCACCAACACCCGCAGCAGCTCCAGCTCCAGGCGGACCCGA